TTTTTATTAAGTACTTTTTGAGTTATTTTATATTTTATTCTGACATATTTTGATATAAAAAATAAAATATCTTGTAAAATATTTAGTTTTCGATAATCTTACCGTAATTCTTTTATGTACAGAATAATGAGACAAATCAATTAGTATAAAAAAATAATTGTTTTTAAGAAAAATTATGTAATTATTTACAATGTATTTTTGATTTGTCTCATTATTCTGTACATAAAAGTGTTAGGGTAAGATTATCGAAAACTAAATATTTTACGAGATATTTTATTTTTTATATCAAAATATGTCAGATTAAAATATAAAATAACTCAAAAAGTACTTAATGAAAAAATACTTTATTGTAGTGTTTTGAAAAGCTCTCGAGATAAGCTACAAGAATATGCAATAAAAAGTAGGCAGTTCCATTTAAAAAATTGAAGGTGACCTTGCTTTTTTATGGAAAAAAAATTGTTTGGTCAATTTTTATTATTGCAATTTGTTGCCGGTTAGACACTGATAAATTTCTGTTTATGACTTTTTTATGTCAGATTATTGTAAGTGCCTTAAAAATCGTGGCGACCGTTACGAGGACCACCCTGTATATATATTTACAGGGTGTCTGACAAGTAAGTGACCAATTGAAAGGTGGAGATAGATTGGGTCAAACTGAAAAGAAAAGTTCTGTACCATTCTTTTTCTATAACGCATAATAAAGAAGTTACTATTGAGTAAAGTCTGGGCCCCCCCCATCAGCGCCGACTTTTAGTCGGACGTACGTCAGTGAGCCGCTCGCCTGGTAGTGTGCGTCGCTGTAGCAATGGAGCGCTCACGCACACTACCAAGCGCGCGGCTAAAGATCGGCGCTGATTGGACAGACTTAATCAATAATAACTCCTATTAAGCGTTATGAAAAAAATGGTTCAGGAATTTTCGACTCAGTTTGATCCAATCTACCTCCATCTTTTGTTTGGTTACTCACTTGTCGGACACCCTATATAATGATAAAATTAAAAATTTTATAAAAAAGTTATTGACGGTCTGTAACCACTCTATAAAATAGAAATATGTGCACATTGTGTTATTTTTACACATTTTTTTAGTTGTTTTAATAATTTAACATTTGAGTTCAATTAACACAACAACAATATGCTAAATTAACACATGAATGTGTTAAATATTCAACACAAAATTTTAGCCGGCATTTTTTTTAACAAGGAAATTTTCCAACTGTGTACGGATACGAACTTATGGATGTTACATTATACATTTTTGGCAAAATGCCGTGCTCCATAAAACACCGGTGCCCATGATGCCATAATGCAAAAAATTATCGGGATATAAACCCGAAATACTATTTGCCATTTTATATTGGTCCATAATTAATGGTTTCATCACACCATGTATCCCAAGTGATATGAAACCACCACCCCATGCAATCCACAGACCAGTCCACTTAGAACTAAGTAATATTTCGGGTGTATTTTCAAAAAGACGCTCATTCTAGAAAACGTATGTTAATCAGATCAATCAAATGTTATATTATATTAATGCTTTTATTATTTGATTTTTCTTAACTTTGAACTGTTTGCACTAACATTAGTAACTGGATATGTTTGACCGCTAACGGTATTTGAAATCAAAAGTTCCACACCAGCTTTCCAATCTTGGACGATTTTTTTTGCAGAAGACGGAATTGGGAGTAAACTTAATAAAATCCTGGCTTCCGCCTAAATGCATCCGTTTAAGTTCATTACAATTATGATTAGTACCATCTATATTGAGAGAATGCATTTATACTTAATGATATCCATGTACATTTTGTTCATCAAGAGGATTCCAAAGCTTAATCCAGAAGGATATGTTTCCATAAGTGCTGTTTAATCCCGTTAACATGGAATAAGTTGATGAATTTCGTGAATATGTTAAACAATCTAAGAGAGAAATATTTTACAGTAGAAATATCAATACATGTCTATATATATATATCTTGTACATATTAAAAGGTTTTTTGTAAAATAAGTTTTCTCACAAAATAATATTTAGCCCGCATCTTAATATAATTTTTTTGCGGTTACATTTTGCGAAGATAATATTTTGTAAAAAAGTTATTCCTATTTGCATAAGTGCTGATACACTAAATTTTCACAAAATTATTATCAATCAATGAAATGCTAGTAAAAACATAATCAACTTAAAAAAAAATTAAAAATTAAGAGAACTTTTAAAAATTATTTTGCTTTCTCATAGAGGAAGCTTTGTTTCGAAAAATTTTTTTTTTCAGTTTTCTATGCCAATGTGTTCAGAATGTTCCAAAACGTTCGAAAAATCACATTTTTTTTAAATGTTCCGTACATGTGTATGTGTATGTGTATACATAGTATATGTACAGATAGTAACCGAAAATTCAAACATTTATAATTCAAGAACTGCTTGAGTTACAGCGCTGCAATTCGGCACACAAGTAAAATAGTACAACACTTTTATTTACAGCACTGTCATTTTTATAAAAATTTATACAATATTTTAGATTTTAAGGCAATTTCAATTTTTCAAAAAATGTCTGTGTTCTTCAAAAAACGCTCTAACTTCCGCAAATTTTGAGATATTAGGCTAAATTTTTTTACACGAATAAGCATGCAAATTAAAAACTTGCACATTGCTTCTTTATTATTTTATTTTGTTCAAAAAGCTTCTTATATGAGGAAATCAAAATTGAAAAATCTACTTGCTCTGAGGAGGAGCTTTGTGAGCGATATAAAATAAGGAAGCAATGTGCAAGTTTTTAACTTTGCACGCTTTTTTATCGTAATTGCAGGAATATATAATATTAAAACTAAGCTTAAAGATGTGTCTTGCGAATCGTAGTCACATGTTTGAATTTTATATTGTTACATTCAAAAATAAACTATAAGAAATTTAACGTGTAAAATTTTTAATAAGAATATCACTTATGAATTTAGTAGCAATTTAATTCAAAACTAGCGATTGTTAATCATTTTTAATTAGTTCTTTAATTGACAATTGACCATTAATTCCTTCGATCAGTTAAATTGATTGTAATTATTATTGTAATATTGTAATTGAATGTAATATTATAATTAACTTTCAATCGATTATATTTTAGAATTAAAACTTGTGTCAGCTTTTTATATTAGATAATATAAACCTTTGTCATCGCAAGATGGAATATCGCAATATTCTTTTTCTACCAGCTCATAATTCCTTTCTTCCACATAACACCAAGGACCACCGGTATCATCATCTGGATTCCTACAGAGATTACGTGCCTTTATCCTTGATCCATCCGGAAAATGCTTATTATGGAATTTAATACTCTAAAAAGCAATTAACAAATAATGAAGAAATAAGGAATTGATTTTTATTACTGGCTGACACACATTTTCTGGCTAACGTCCATTCTGCGCAATAAAAAAGGTTTCTTTTTTTCTTACTTTAGCGTTACCGAGTTTGTATTTTCTATTCCAAAATTTACATTTTCTTTTTGAAATACCGAAACTGTAAATTATTATTTGCATGTGATAAAAATTATAATTTTTAAAATAAATTACTTAAAATTTTAATATAAAAGAGCATTTATTTAAAGATAAAAAATTATTTATTAAAATAAAGAAAACCTGTTTTTGAACATGTTTTTGAAACAAGCAGCCAAAAAATAAAAAATGTTTTTTTAAAGGAAGAAGTTTAGTATAATAAAGATTTAAAAAAAACATTTTTTATTTGCAAATAAAAGCATACACATTTTGCTTTTATTTTATATATATATTTTAAAAATTCAAATATATTTGCTGCTTGATTGAAATAACTAATTCTTTTGCAAGTATTTAAATATATAATTTTTTGGGATTTAGACATTTTTTTCAGTGTAGCAACGGATTCAAACATCCAAAAAATATTGTGTCTTTCAAAATGCAAAAAGATTTAAACTTTTATATAAAATATAACATAAATGTATATATTTATTAAGACCAAGCCTGTTTTATCATAAAATCAATGTAATTACCTTTGTAATTACAAAGTGGAATATCGCACTCATCATCGATAACTGTAGGTTCTAATGTATAACACCAAGGACCCCTTGGATCTCGAGTAGGATTTCTACAATAATTTTTAACAAGTTTCATGGACTTTTCTGGGAAATTTGCATCAGTTATATCCGTACTAATCTAATACCGATAAAATTGAGAAGGTATTAATAATCTAATCTATATGAAATATAAAATGTTAACAACAACAAAAATATTTATAATACAAAATTGTTAGCAATGATTTTCAAGCGTTTCAAGACATATATATTCACGAGAGAAGTTTTTATTTAAAATTGGATTGTATATTCTTCAAACTTATGTAAACCCCTTTAATTATACTCTACATAAAAAAGTGATAAATACAAAAGCATATATAAAAAATTGCGTATTATATATAAAAAAATAGATATTATAATACAATATAATATATACAAAAAAATATACAGAAATAAGATCATCAAATATAAAATTATCGTCATGTTCTAATTCTCTGTCGCAAGAAAAGAAACAAAAATGCAAAAGATACAAATGTTTATGTCAATAAACTAACTTCATGAATTGGTTGTTGGGCAGACCACGATTGGCATCGATAACCACCAGCAGTGGTCATAATAAAACCTTTATACTCGGTTCCTAATTGGGACAGTTTGCATTTGGATAAATCAATACTCGATATATTACGCACTGGAAGAGAGAATCATCGGAAATAATAATCATATAGCTTCGCAGATGGGAAACAAGTAATGCACTATTGGAAAATTTGTGACATAATTCATCTGTTAAAATGTAACAGAAAAAAATGTTGATTATATTCTACAATAGGAAGAGTGAGAATGACTACAGATCATCAATAACATTTTTTCAAGTTAATTATATCATTAAAAATATGTTGATTTTACACAAAATTTATTCTAAATTACTATAAAGTTTGCATTCATTTTGTGTTAAAATGTTAACATAGTCTTAGTCTCACCATTTAACATATCCATATAATGTTAAATTAACACAAAAATTTGTCTGTTTGACGGGACGTCCGATATATGTTAAATTTAAGACAAATTTTCCAACAGTGTGTCAAAATCGGAAACAGTAGGAAGTACCCAGAGAAATATCGATAAATCACTTAATATTCAAAGTAAGAATGTTCAAAAGGATTTGAAAAAATACATTATTGTGTATAAAGATTTATCCTGCTGTTTCCAATTCATAAAATCACATTGCTCCTATTCCCCTTCTAAATTTCACATGACTTTATTACATGAATCTGCGATAATCAAACTTGAAATCTGTAAGATCTGTATTATCGTTGCAAAATATTGTTCGGCATGCATATCGAGCTCCAAGAAGCGATTAATAATAAGCAAATTGTTGTTTATTTGGGAAAAATGTCTTCTCTAAAATATTCAGTTTGTATTCACAGAAAGCTTTTTCTTTTCGGAACTTTTGTCTTCTGAGGCTGTCAACTGCAATATCTTGTCACTTCATCGGTCTGTCATTTTTTATCTCTTTTTATCATTTTATCATTTATATAATCCTCCGTAAATTGAAACTACAACAGTAATCAGATCCATACGTAGCTTGCAATAAATAAGCGTAACTAATATCTACTCATAAAATTGTATATAGGCTGTGTGTATGTGTGTTTCGATTTTCGATATACATCATTCATATACGTTCATTCATGTGTGACGTCATATATGAATGAACGACGCATGATCTAACATAGGGGCGTGGCTTAATTAATATGGCGGCTGCAAGGCAGACAGCATAGACATAGTATATCTAGACCATAGACATAGTATATCTAGACCGAACGTTTGCCTTTATTTAAGGAGTGGGGGTAAAGATACACGTAGAAAAGGACATACTCTGTTTCGTGCCCCTTGCGTTCTTTCTCGCTCGCACAGAGCATAGCGCTCTCTTTCGTCATGCTACGTGCGAGCGAGAGAGAACGCAAGGGGCACGAAACAGAGTATGTCCTTTTCTACGTG